GCTTTTGGCCCAACATCAGACAAGAATCCTGATGTTGGGCCACAAGCAAGAGCTTTGACTGTAGAGAAGAAAGTATTTATGGCTGTGGTCTGTAAAAGAATGCAAACTGGATATTTGCCCTGCAAATGACACCAAAAAGAGAAAACACCACATTTTTTTCCCTACTGTCTCTCTCCACTTCTGTCCTGACTCCCTCAGCAGCTTGGTTTCTCACTCCCTTGGTTTCTGACTCCCTCAGCACCATTCCCAGTGCTGCCAAACAACTCCCTCAGATCAGCACCCAGTGATATTGGTGGTGTTGGGGTAACCTGTGTCACAGGAGCATGTGGTGACTCATTTTTCCAGGCCCATAAGAGTCATAAATTTGAACTGTTACTGGCTTCTTTGGCAACACCCATGGAACAATATGGGAATGTGAAGCTAGGATATGACTCACTCCGTAAGGGAAGGACACAGAGCTGTCTCTGCAATTGACTGATTTACTTGAGCTTCTGCATTGAAGATCCTGGGTTCTCTGCATGTTGTTTGTTCCCTTCCCTCAGTGTTTCTCACTGTTGCCAAATTGATAATCTTCAGTGATATGGTGGAGCCACCATAGTGACAGTGGAATTCTTCCCCTTTTTCATCATATTTGGTAGTACTAAAATATTCTTAATTGATAGTGGCTTGCCCAGTTACTCAGAAAGAGCTACCATGAGGTCCACCATTAAAGCTATCACTAGATCAGTTTGCATGGCCTTCACTAGCAGGAGTTTGAATGAACCCAGTGGTACGAAACACCAGGAAAAGAAGCTGAGGTCTGTGAGTGTGTTTGGATTGTCCTCCCTAGCTATGTTCTTGGGGCTGGTGTTCAGTGATTGTTGGCTTACACACATAGCCAGAGCCTCCATGACAGCCTCCTCCCCCTCCTTGCCATTTTCACCCAGCTTTTGACACTGGGCTGTCCATGCTGAGCCAGCCTGGCATCACCTCACACAAATGGACTGGCACCTCCAGATGGGAGCAATCCAAGGCAGACTGTACCAGCTCCTAGGGAGAAGTTCCTAGAAGGGTCTTGACATGTGCAGAGCCTCCCAGATACCATTTCTGTCAATTTGGAGTTGGGAAAATGTGCTTTCAAGGCATCTGAGGGAGTGTTCTTCCAAGACAAGTAGACAGTGCTGGTTAGTCACACCAATATGCTGGTGAGTGATGCACAGAGAAGGTCTCTCCCTCTGGCCAATGTACACCTATTTCTGGTACGGACTGGATCTCTGAGAGTGGGTACATCCCAGCACACCCACACAGCTGGACCAAACTGACAGCCCAAGATTTTCCAGAGGGCAACTTGCAACTCGACAGCCAAAGTCTTCAGAAACTCCTTCCAGGTGGTGGAGCAGGAAGGAAGCGTGGCAGTACAGCCCTGTCCACCGTGCACTTCTCCCTCCCTCACTCCCTCCCTCCCTCCCTCCCTTTCAGCCCTGTCCTTTCTCAATACCCAGGAAAGATTAACTCCTCTTCGCACACCAGAGAAAGTTATTATCATTAATGAAGAATTAAAAGAGAGTGATTAATAAAGGGCCCTTATCTGGCCATGAGGAGGAGGCTGGACAATGGAAGGAAGATGGAGAAAATGAAAAACAATAAATATGAAGCGTAAAAGGAGGCGAGCACTGCTCCCACTTGTTAGATCGCAGCTGCATCTCCTGAGGGGGGAAGGCTCCAAATTGCTAATTACTGCCTCTGAAAAGACCTCGCTCTGATATGTTTTCTGCTGAAAGGTTCCCATTAATGAAGCAGCGATGATGCCGTTTCCCTTTGACTTGCCTTCAATTCCCTCCCTGAGCTTCCTCCCAAGCCGGGAACAATGAGGCCCTGGGAGCTGGCGGCTCCCACAGGCCTCTCGGAGACTAGGCCGGGGGCAGCCGAGTGAGGGGAGCCGAGCCGGCTGTGAAATATGGAGGGGGGAGATAAGGCAAAGACAGAGGAAAGAGGCTCACTCCCAGGAGCCCAGGGAAAATTTGCAGTTATTATGAAGGAGATGAGACAGATTAAAAGCCCTTGTGTTCTGCGCTGCCCTTTTATTTAGTGGCTTCATCTCTGAGATGAAAGAAGTTGGAAATGACTTTCTCCGCATTTTGCTGCAAGAAGCTTCACGGCACATTTTTTGACTTTATTTCTCCCTTTGTCTCTTGTCCCCTTTCTGTCTCTCTTTTTCCTTTTAACCCCTGGAAGGTTTTGCTGTGAAATGTCATGGGACGAGGCAGAGCATTTGCTGGGGTAGAGCAATGACCCTGCTGCTCTCCCCATCCTACTGGGCTGAATGGCTCCCACTGCCCAGCAAGGAGGGAGCTGGGCCAAGGTGCTGCCACAACAAGCAGAGAGCATCCAGCCAAGCTTCCTCTCCTGCTTGCCTCAGAAATGTCCCTCACCACTAACACACCCTCTCCTGCCTCCAGGCCCAGCAGCAGTTCAGCACAGGTGACCGCAGCCTCTGAGCAGGAAAAAAAAACATCCTTACAAAGCCCAGTGATGGATCCATGTGGGGTAAGAGTGCTGAACATTTTGTATCCCTGGAGCATTTAATGAGCTAAACTAGTGCTGACAAGTTTGGGACAGTTCCCATTCAGACAACTTATGAAGTGCACAGAAAGTAAACAATTTGCCAGGGATGTGGGATGAAGTTCAATGCAGACAAGGATTCGAAATTAACTTTTGCTGACCTATGACAGGGTGAGTCTTGTAAGACTGCACAGAAATACCATAAACTGCTCAAAACCAGATTATCCCAACTGCCTCATTATATTTCTTGAACTCCTATTCCAAATTATAATCCTCATTGTATTTCTTGAACTTCTATTCCAAATTTTTTTCCACATCAGTGCTCCTTTGTGGTACCCATTTAGTTCTTGGGACCCTTGCAATTGCAAGAGCTTTTTCATCCTGTCTCTTGCTTTTGCCCTATCTCTCTCACAGAAAACCGACCCCGTGTGCCAGTATGTTGTCTTTACTCAGGCCAAATGCTGGCAATATCTGCAGAAATTTGGGTTTGAGTGTTGAATGTGGAAAAAAATAATGGACAAGTGAATTAAAATTTTTACCAGTTGAAAAACATTTTGTTGACCTACAGAGAACAGAGAACTAGTTCGGAAATGAGGGGAAAATAAGAGAAATTAGAATGGGCATCTGCTGCCATCTCCCCAGGACATCTGAATACAGGATCTCTTGTACACAATTGTTTGTCTGGTTTGTTATCCTGCCTGGAACAGCAGCCAGTATTGAGTGCTTGAAATGAAGGGGTAAGAAGCTCTGAAGTGATGTTTACAGAATAACCTTCCCATCAGGGGAGTTTCTCTCTAACCCAGACATTTTGTAGCTGTTTTATATCCTGAAGCATGAAAAAGGATTGCAGCGGTGAAACAGGATTAGATTTTAGGAGGGATTTTCTCTCAGATCTGAGAGTAAAAAGAAAACCCCTGTATTGGAAATAGGAAACTGGCTGGGAAAACAAAATGCTGCTAAAAAGTAAGGTGAGTTACTGCCCCAGAAAGGGTTAAAAAACCAAAAGGACACAATTTTACAGGCAAGTTTGTGCGCATAAAGTAACTTCAATCAAGTCAGCTATTGGAAATGGGATAAAACAAAATCTACCTATTGGCTGCTTTTCTTTTTTTTTTATATTTATTTTCCAAGGAAATAATAGAGAACTACAAGGAAATGAAAATGTTAACATGACAGCTCAGACTGGCACGAAGGACTGGTTAGATAAACAGCATGAAGAAAGTTCAGCAAAGCTAAATGAAGCTTGTCCTATTGGGGTGTAGGAATCAATGGCAAACTCAAGTATTCAGTTATTTTTGAAGTATCTTGACAAACTAGGGAGGGTGCCAGAGGACTGAGGAAGAACAAACACAGCACCAGTCTTTTGTGGTGGAAGTAGGGAGGCAGCAGTGGTCTTGGCAAATATCACCCTTTCAGAGTGACTTCTGTTCTGGGCAACGTGATGGAATAAACAGAAATGGGGGGAAAAGTAAGAATACAAAAGATAAAGAGATCTGTGAGCAATAGGCAGTAGTATATATTTACAGAGAATTAATCACATCTAAATAAATCTGATTACTTTATTTTGATTTAATTTACAAAATTAGTGAAGAGAATAACTCAAACATAATATAGATATGGACTCTGGCAAAACTTTCAATATGCTGCACTGTAAAACATTACATGAAAAATGAACCGGTATTGGCTTGAATGTGAGTGCAGCTATGTCAGTTAAGAAAACCCCAAACATCCTTCTGGGGAAAAAAACCCCAAAACCAATCAGAAAAACCAAACCCAAACAAAAACCCACTCTCAACCTCCATTCAAAACCAAACAAAAACAAACGAACAAAACCCCCAAACAAACAAACAAAACCAACAAAGTCCAAAAGCCACCCAAACAAAAAAATCCAGCAAAAAAATTCCCGAAAATAAACCAAAACAAAACGACGATGAAAAAACCCCACTCAAAACCGCTGAAGAAGCATCATGAAAGCTGAGAAATAACCGGAATGTTATTCAAAACTGGATGGTGGCAGGTTCACACCTAGCTTTATTCTGATGGCTGCTGGTGATGTGTAAGCTGGCACGATAGGAAAAGAAATGCAAGCCTTAAGGAGAGGGGAGCAGCACTGTGAAATTTAATTTAGGATGCACACAACTAGCGTGGCAGCAACGAAACGGAGGAATTTGAGTACCAAGTTTATTTACTGTCCATTACAAATAAAATACGATAACCAAGCAGCTAAAGGTTACGTATAGGCAAGGGCTGCCCGCTGGCAGGTGACGGCTCTGCAATGGCTCCACGGGCGGCAGCAGCCACGGCCTCAGCGCACAGAGGAGCACGGACGCCGGCAGCGGGCCGCGCTCGGGGGCGGGCCGGGCGGCGGGGCGGCACCGCCCCGGCCGGGCCGTCAGGGCTCGGCGGCGGCCCCGCCCGCGGGCGGGGCGGGCGGAGGAAGTGGCCCGGGGAGGCCGGAAGCGGCGCTGACGGGGGGCAGGCGGAGCGGGGCGCTGGCCGGTGAGCGGGGTCGCGGGCAGGTCCGGCAGGAGGCTGCGCGTCCAGGGCGGTGGGGGCAGTTTTCCCGGCCTTTCCCGGTAAAGCTGGGGCGTGTCGGGCAGAAGCAGCGGCGTCTCCCTAGAGGAGGAGCCAGTGCGGCCGGGTCGCTGAGGAATAAGGGAGGCGGCCTGCGGCAGTGGGTAGTTCACCGGGCTGGAGGTGCGGGTGTTTCTGAGCCCGGTGGCAAGAGAAAGCCCACGCCTGCAAGGCACGCGTAGGGAGAGGGCTGTTGTGAGATGAGGGATTTGGCCAGGACTTTAGGATTGGCACACTGACGAAGTGTAGGGGTGGTATTTTATGGCAGTAGGAGTTGGGGCTTGGTCTCATACGCCCTGTTCTAAGGAGCCCAGCATCCCGTGCGCCTTGCTTTACAGCTGAAGTGATGCTGGCTTGCAAACTACCTGTTTTACCCTCTGTTTTACTCCCAGCTTTGCTGCTTGTGTACTTTTTGGAAGACTCCATCTGTTTGCCAAGCAGGCTGATCCTTCTCTGTTGCTTTACTGATGCCGGTAGCAAAAACTAGTTGCCGGCTTCCATACCCTTTGGGATGTGTAATTAAGCATGCTGCTTCAGCACAAAAGATGAACCTTAAGGCCTTTTCAGACACAAAGCACTCAACCCAACTGCTGCAGTAGAGAGAGATCTGTACCACCATGACTAGAAGAGGGATTTAACCCTTGCAGAAAGGATTTAACCCTGCCAAGAAGTGGCAGTTGTCCTGCATTGGGTCCTCCCAGGTAACTTCGAAGTAAGTGTCCAACTCCTTTAATGTTACAAAGGGTATAGCATACTACAGTCTAGAGATGTGTTGGTAACAGTATTTATGTTTGGTGCTAATTATTGTCATTTTTAGTAGGCATTGCCAATGGATGAACTGGTGCATGACTTGGCCTCAGCTTTAGAGCAGACTTCAGAGCAGAACAAACTGGATGAGCTATGGGAAGAGATGGCGCTAAGCCCACGGCAGCAGCGGCGGCAGCTTCGCAAGAGGCGGGGTCGTAAGCGACGCTCAGACTTCACACATCAGGCAGAACATGCCTGCTGCTACAGCGAGGCCTCAGAGTCGAGCTTGGACGAAGCTGTCAAGGATTGCCGTGAGGTGCTGACAGCTAATTTCAGTGACTCTGATGACATGGCAGTGGTCAAACGGCATCCAGCTCTTAGTGCCACCCTGAGGAGCAAGCAACACTTGTGGCATGAGTCAGACTCCTTTACAGAGAATGCGCCCTGCCGACCTCTCAGGCGCCGTCGGAAAGTCAAACGTGTGACATCAGAGGTGGCTGCCAGTCTCCAGCAAAAGCTCAGGGTGTCAGAGTGGAACTATGAGAGGGGCTGCAGGTTCAAGTCAGCCAAGAAACAGCGTCTTTCACGCTGGAAAGAGAATGCCCCTTGGACATCATCCAGTCATGGCCTTTGCGAGTCAGGAGAGAACAGGCCCTTCCTCAGCAACGGGGGAAGGAAGGAGCGGATGGAGTGTGAAGCCGATGATCAGAAACAGGGTTCAGATGAAAACATGTCGGAATGGTGAGATCTCAGTTTCTTCCCTATGCTAGTCAGATGGCTGCCTTGCTTGCAGCTGCTTGTAAATGCTGTGCCTTGCTTTTTGAAGTTCTTAAAATTATTCAATGCTGCTCTTTTTGTGAGGATGAGAAATATCTCAGCTGCTTCTAAAATGTAGATTTGTTCAAAGTCTTTCCTGTCAGTATTGTATGATGACCCAGAATGCTTCCTTGAGAAGTTGGCAAGCTGATAGGTTTCTGGCTCCTGTTACACAAAGAGTCCTCTGAAATGTCAGTGGCCTTGCAGCATGCTTGTGGCCTGTGGTTCTGGGAGTAAACCCCCAACTGGCACTTGTGTTGCGTGATTGGTACGAGCTGATCTCTGTTTCTCATTTTCAGCATTTAAGTAGTGGTAGATTACAGATCAGATCTCCCATCATTACTGCTGGCCCTCTGTGCAGGTGCTGTGTGAACCTCAGTCTAACCTTCCTTTCAGTTCTACATTTCTGCTCTTGATCTGATCGTTAAAGCCTAGCTATGGGGAGAATGTGGTGAGAGGATGAAGAAGTTGAGGGCAACTTATGTTACTTACAGGATAAGCACTGCGCATCAGTGGAGTCTGATGTCTTGGTGTCCAGTTTTGGAGAACTTTGATGAATTTGTGGCAGAATCACATACAAGGGATTAAAATAAATCATGTAAATGTCGTGGTCTAAATTTGCGTTGCCCTTGGGAATTTTTTTCTCCAACTGTGACTCTTATGCTCTCTGTCTAAGGTTTAGGATCATAAAACTGCTTCTGTCAGAAGAGATTTTTCAGGTTAGAAAATAGGCAGCTGCTGAGAATTAAATGGAGGAGGTTTCTTAATGAATGGCATACAAAAAGCACATGTGATCACTGATTTTCTAATTATCATTGTGTAAGAACAGCAGACATTGAGGAGACATTTGAAACAAACAAAAAGCATTATTTTTCATGAAACATGAGGTCTGGAACTCTCTACTGCAGGACATTTTAGAGGTCAAAATTTAAATATGTTCAAAAGGGAGATGTGGAGCATAGGCATATCAGGGGCTGTTAAACTTTACAGCCCAGATGAAAGATCCCACTCAGGAAGTCCTTAAGCTGCTTGACTTCTAAAAGCTAGAGGAACATACAGAGAAGTCTGTGTTTGTCATGTTCTCATGTTCTTTTCTCAAGCACTGTAGTAGTCACTATCAGACAAGAGTGGATTTGGAAAGTCTTAACTCTTTGATACAATATGATTGTTCATATGTTGAGGTTCAATTAAGTATTGTGACAGTCTAGCTCTGCAGTTTGTCAGAGTGGACAGGTGGCACTTCATTATTATGGCTTTGTGGATAATAGCTGGAATTGAAGACTTCTCAGTGCTGTTTTCTGGGACCCTGTGAAAAGCTTAGGTTATAGTAAGTCCTCACTGTGGTCTGGGAACCACTATTGCATTTTTACTGGGTCAGTTGTGATTTGTAGCATGTAACTCTTACAGAGTGGTCACTTTTTTCTTTTAAGAGTGGCTGTTGTTCCTAAAAAGTGTGAGGTGGGGCTTTACAAGAAACTTGTGGATGGAAACGTTTTGTTGCCAGTTGTTAGAGTAGTTTTATCTTCTTAGAGCTGTTTGCTACTAGTCCAGGAAAAGAAGTGTGCTAAGCAGCTCCTGAATAGTGCATGTCACTGGTGATGGACTGAGAGATACCCTTACTAGATGTGGCAGTGATGGACAGTGTTCCTTGAGTTGGATTTTTTAACACCAGTCAGAGTCTGTTCCATCATGTCAGACTTGAACCTAAACCAGCAGGCTTTTATCCAGCCTTTATTTGTGCCAGCCTTGGAAAGAGTAAATAAAGAGCTATGTCCAGACTGTAACTTGAGGACCATGCTGGGAGATGGCTTTGTTCTGTCTCAGTTGTCCCTTGCTCTCAGACTAATTATTGTGCAAGTATATGCATCAAATGACGCTTACCATCTGCTGCCAAATCCTTGGGATTCTCTCTGGAAAGCTAGTGCTTGGAATATTTGACCTCTCCAACACCACATGTGTGATCTGTGCTGTGACTCACTAGGGAGGGCCACAGTTGGAGGGAGTAATATATACAGCCCTCTTCACTGCAGAGTATCCCTCACAGCAGTGAAGGATCATGCTTTGGTCTCTGCTGCTCTAAATATAGCCCTTTGCTGTGAAACTGGCTGTGTCTGCCTCACTCCCACTGTGCTCTAGCTGTTTTTTCTGGTACAGTGAGGGAAGTACTTTTCACAGATGTATGACAAGGGCATATCCTGAGGAAAGGAGAAGAAAATTGGATGCCTGGGAGAGCAAATGGTGTGGTTGTCATCACAAGTTGGTGGAATGAAAGGTGACTGATGCTGCTTGTGGGACTTGTAAGCAATCTGTGGTGATCTGGTGATTTACAAAACTTTCATACTGAACTGGTTCCACTACTGTTCACTCCTCTAACAATATGGAACGTGACAAAACGAAGTGAGTTTTCGGGCAAACTAAGTTCTGTATTCAGAATGGATTTTTTTTTTTTTTAATCTTATTTTTCCTCCCCTACACTGACAATTTCTTGGTTTAGGAATGAATCTGTAAATGCTGAAATATCCTGTATTTTCTCTGGTTTCTACAAGGGTTCCTATCCTAAGTCAGGTCAAAGACCTGTTTATTCAATTGATGAACTCCCATTCACTGAAAAAGTCTTGGATATGGGTTCTTAACAAGGAAAAGGGTTTTTTTCTAGTTTGCTTGTGGGACTATGCCCAGTCCTTTCCTGGAGGAAGATGAGCTGCAGTATTGTGATCCAAGTGTACATATAATGAAATCTTTGAAATTGTTTGCCAAACACAGCAAAAGATGAACATAAATTCAGAGAAGGATGGATGTGCAGGAACACAGTAAGGAAATGATGGTGGTTCTGAATTGGGTAATGACATGATCCAATGCCTAATCTATAAATAACTGTGGAAACAACAAAGGGAACAAGTTTTAGTTTAAGCAGTCATTTGTGTAAAGGTGACAATTAGCTGCTAAGACTGTTAGAAGTAATATGCCTTTCTGTCCCTAAGTGTTTTGAGATTCCCTGCAGCCATAATAAAACAAAGGCAAATTATATATTGAGTGCTGAAGTTTTCTCTCTTTTAGATCTGAACTGAGTACTTCCAGAATGTTCTGGGTTTGGTTTGAGGGCAGAGCAAACCATAGTACAAGAGCTGTCTAAAAATCACTTCGAGTAGTGTGTTTATTTGGGAAAAACATGCAGTTGGTCTCATCTGTTTTCAAGAACCAAAACTCTGTGACTTTTTCAAACTTGGAATTCTACTGACCCACCAATGCTGTGAGATTTCACTGGCTTAATGCTGATGTATTGGTTGTGGTTTAACCTGGATAGGCAGCTCAGCTCCATAAAGCCACCTGCTCACTCCCCTGTGGGGATGAGGGAGAAAAATGGAAGACTAAAAGTGAAAAAACTCTTCAGCTTTAGGTAAAGTTGATTTAGTAGGTAAAGCAAAAGCTATAGTGCGCAAGGAAAGCAAAATAAGGAATTCACTGTTTCCTATCAGCAGGCAGGTGTTCAGCCATCTCCAAGAATGCAGAACTCCATCATTTGTAACATTATTTGGGAAGACAAACACCACAACTCCAAATGTCCCTGGCTTCATTCTTCTTTTTCTCAGCTTTTATTGCTAAACATGACATTAGATGATGTAGGATATCAGTGTGGTCAGCCCGCGTCAGTTGTGCAGCCTGTGTACCTCCCATCTTCTTGTGCACTCCCAGCCTGCTCACTGGCAGGGCAGTGTGAGAAAGCCTTGGCACTGTGTAAGCACTGCTCAGCAATAACTGAAACATCCCTGTGTTATCAACACTGATCACAAATCCAAAACATAGAACCAAAGTGCTGCTATGAGAAGAATTTAACTCCGTGCCAGCCAAAACCAGTACAATGTTCTGGCCTGAGAATGTGACCATCGCTCATCCTGAATGTGCAGTTGAGTTGCTTTACCCTTTGGAAAGGAGCTGCTTTGATGACAGTCTGCAGTTGCATTCATGAGTCTGGCTAAGCTGATGAATTGGAGGCCAGTCTCTCCATAAAAAAAAAAAAAAAAAAATTCCTATCTTGGAAGGCAAGTGACAAAGACAGAGTGTTCCGCTTCCCCTCCTTTTCCAGCCCCGCCTGACCTTCTGCAGCCCCTCGGTGCCTCTTGTTTTCTTATTTTTATAGAAAATCAATATCCCTCCTGACACAAACAATAGCTCAGGCAAAAGAATAAATGGGGGAAACCTGAGATCTCTGTCCATCACCTCTCAGTTTAACTCCCCCAAACTATTTAATTATAAGCATGCTTTGCTTCAGGTGTTTGTGACAGTGAAATTGCTAAATGAGGACCATTTTAACCAAAGATTGGGTGATCAATAACCCTCTATAGCAGTAGCTTGTCGGATCAATAGCATTCATTATTTCGTGGTTAAGGTAAGTAGCCTCCTTTGCAAGTGGAGGTCATTAATCAGTGCTTACTGGACCTACAGAAAGGCCTGCATAGGAGTCTAGTTCGTGTTCAGCCCTGCAGTGTAAAAGGGGTAGTGGAGAGGGTGAAATCCCTAAAAGTTTGTTCGTGTAAAGCACTGGCAGTGATGCTTATCTGTAAGGAACTAAAGAGCTCTCAGTGCAACACAATGCTTATAAAGTAGAGTTAATATGACCTGGGTGCTTGTCAGTGCTTTTTCCTTTCTCAGGCACCTTTCCTCTGAGGATGCTAAAAACCTTATGAAGCAGTCACTCGGTCCTCACATCTGCAGCTTGTGAAGATTGTTTATCCAAGCTATCAAAAGGGAAAGCAGGCATGCTAAGGGATTGGCCCAGGGTCATACAGTCAGGTGGTAGGAGAGCTTGGGATGAAACAATTAATTCGTGGTTCTCAGTCCTTGGCCTTAATTGCTGTGGTGTATATGTGGGAGGATGAATGCATGGCCCAGCTTTGTAATGGATTAATTTGGAATTTGATATTAACTTGCATGCTGTAAGGTGAGCATGCTGTATAGATTGATCATCCTTTAAGTATAAATGGCCTTTATACAGGCCTTTATGATGAAGATACAGAATTTTAGATGTCCAACATGATGAGTTGACTTGATTATACTTTAGAGTGTGTTTTCTAAGACCAACAATATGCTCTCAAAATAGAGTTTTATTCTGTGCCTGCAGTTCTTTGGAGTGACATATTTTGTGGTCCCTCATTATTCAGCCTTGTCAATCAGGGGTTTCTGGTATGATCTCTAGTATGATCCAGTTTCCCTGGAAGAGTGGCATCCAGAGATACTTTCAAAGAGCATTCCCTGATTGGAGACTGATTCTAGTGCTGACTTACACCTGATGTTCACATCTAAGATTTTAGTGCTCAGGGAGGAGGCAGTAAGTAGTTTCTGCTTGTCCTGGTGTCTCTCAGCTAAATCAGAGGAAGTACTGCCTGAAGTGTCCAAGGAATGAGTTCTAGTCAGCATTAAAGCCTTCAGGTGCTTGGAACTGATATGAGCAGGTACTTCTGCTACAAATATTTGTCTAGCTTTGCAAGTCAATTAATAGCTTTCTGCATTTTAATTTCTAACTCTATTCTTTTGTTCAAGAATTAAATCTTCTCTCACTGCTTCAGGAAATGCAAAGCAATGCAAAATGCTATGACAAGGTTGTGTTCAGCAGGGTCAAGTCATGCTGTGCTAAGGTATTTAGCTGGATGTTTGTAAATGTCACAGCTGCTCTTACTCCACATAAAATACAAGTTGGTGGGGGAGGAGGCTGTGTGATAGTGTAACATTTTTGAGGAAAAGGAATCTGAAATAGAAAACTTAGGAGGGTTTTCAGTTAAGTGACCCAAGGACAGTGTTTTTAACTGTTCTTAATTTCCTGGTGAGTATTCCACATGATGCCATAGTTAGGTTCGTAATTCTAGTACCTGAGGCAAATGCCATTTTATTAATTACTTCTTGATAACTTAGAACTAAACTAGATACAGGATTCTACTCTTTTTCAAGTGATGCAGCATTGATGCGTTTTAACAGAAAGAAAGCAGTTATGTTCTGTTCTAGAGCCAGTCATGTGTCTGAAATTCAATTTTTGTGAGACATGTAAAACATTTTGGTCTTGGAGAAGCTAGTAAGATGTAGTAGAGTGGTTTTTGTATTGTGCCTGTTGCAATTGTAACCATTTTTTTTTCTCTGTTTCTGTTCCAGTGAAACTAGCAGTGTTTGCAGCAGCAGTGATACTGGCCTCTTTACCAATGATGAAGGCCGCCAAGGTAACAGGTGTCCTGTGATTTTCCTCATGTGCTGCTAGGGAGTTCCTTACTTTCTTTACAAGTGCAAAGGAAGATCTATGTTTGAAGGGAGACAGAGCCAGTGGCAGGGAGCAGCTAGAAGTTAACCAATGAGATGAGGGCTACAAATGTATGATTTTCTTAACACTGCACTTTCTCTGATGAAATACTTTGTGTATCAGATCCATAATATTTGCAATATAAGAAGTTATTATTGTGGAAGGGCACAGACATACAAGAGGAATTTGAGAGCTCTTCATAATGAAAAAGCACAGCTTATGATTTGTTTCTGTAGGTGTTTTAATGGTTGTCTACATACCATTAGTGCCTGAAATCTGTTAGTTGTTTTTTTCTATGGGCAGGAAGAGAAGATGGGAAAAAAAATTACTTAATGCTGACAAGTTACCTAATATGCTGTGCTGAGAAGATGATGGTGATATGTGATAGGTCTCATTTCTTTAAATATGTGTTCTTTCCTTGCTCTTGTGGGCATTAGTTGAATGTTATATTTTCAATATCTGTTGTAGAAATGGTATCTTAGGAGCTCTGAGTGTGAAGTGCAATCTGGTTTTATTTATCAACCACAGCATAGTGTTCAGTTGATGGGGGATAGGGCAGCAGTGTGAAATAGGTTGTAGTAGACACACTGGCATTGAGGACTATTACATCTGGAGCACGTGGAATGTGACCCTAGAGACCTGCAATTCTGTGCACTCTGATTCTGTCACATTTCACAAGCTAAGATTTGGATGAGATCTCCTCTGGGAATATATGAGTGCTAAAGGAAGTAGCACCAGTCGCTCAGTAGGATATACTGCTTCCACTAGCTTGTTAATGGCCCGGGTACCTGTGTGAAACAACACAATGATAGCAAACATGCTTGTGTGTTTTCTGATGGTATTTTAGGCTGCAGGACCAGTCTGTGTTCTTAGGGGAGTATAATACTTTGCTTAAGAGTAGGGATTTCAAATACCAGCTTTAACTGTTGCTGAAAAATAACTGTTTCTAGACTCTGGTTCTTCAAAGGCAAGAGAAAAGTAGAATCTTTTGCCTTCTCTTTTTATTGATAATTGTTCAGGCGGAGCTGAAATTAGTGAGCACTTGTATATTAGATGACAAAGCAGAGTGGTGACTGAAGTGTTTTACTTCATCACCTGAGACAAGATTAATGGAGACTGGATAGTGTATATATATACTTGTCTATATGCTTGTCCTATATACTTGCCCTGATTTTGTACCCTGTTTTAGACATTAACTTTTGGCTGCTACTGGAAGTAGGATGCTCAATATACAGGAACATGTAGAAATATGACTTAGATGAATTAATGACGTCCAATTACAGCCTTCCCTGTCTAGGTAAGAGAAGAGGTTTGGCATCCTTGTCATCAGGTCTCTCTCTGTTCAAAGAGTTGATACTGTGATAGCTTTCTGGCCAGGATGTTTTAGATTACAGTTACGTTAAAAAGGTTAAAAATATTGTTGCACTTTCAGACTAAATAAAAAATATCTCCTTTTCCTTTTTTTTTTCTTAACAATTCTTAGTCATAAAGTAAATAAAAAACCAACAGCTTTCCATGTCAGTAAGATGGAGAGAGCGCAAAATTTTTTTGTCACAGATCATCACCTTATAAATAGTTTTCCAGCACAATTACAGGCTGAATAATGGGAAACTTAATCTAGCAGCATTCTTAAATAAATGCAGGGTTTTTCCCTCCTTATTTTGAGGTTGCATCATGTAAAATTTGTGCTGTTGCTAATTAAATAAATCACCTTTTCAAGTGCACATACCAGCACACTTCTATGAGCAGAGAATGATTCTAGTTCATAATTTGATTGTAAGGTGGGTTTTTTTGGTTTTATATTTGTTACATGCATTGGGATCTCTCACAGTGAAAATGACTGAATATTAGCATATGATGCTGATGGTTAAAGTTTGTCTTGTGGAAACAGTGATTTGAGGTAGACAGGGCACTATGCCCAAATCTCTAGTAGTTTTGCACAAATTAAGATCTCTTAGAAGAACTATTCAACATTACTTAGTTTTAATTTGCTATGAAGTGGAGATGGGATTTTTATACTTTAAGATAAAATTGGTAGGTCAACTTGGTGCATGGAAGAAAAAACAATGCCAGAGCTTTGGGATGAAGTGTTCTGGCTGTCCTCCCTGTTGCTGATCAGAGTTGGTTTTGTGTGTTGCTTCTTCTGTTATGTGCAAGATCGCAGCATTCTTATCAGGATGAGTTTTTTACTTCCTTGTATTCTTTTTCTCTTCGTTTTTTTTTTTCCCAGCCAGACATGTGAGTAGGCATAACGGACTTCGGTCAGGAATAACGTAAGTCAGTGAGGAAAGGAGAGTTAGTGGGGATGCTTGAGTTGAGGCTTAGTGGTAGGCAAATGAGAATTTTCCCTAAGGTAGGTGTGTTAGTTTTTTAAGGCAAGATGAAGGACCTTGGAATTACATGGGACTATTTGTGAGTTGGGCCACTGAAATGCTACATGTGTCAGGTTCTTTGCTCTCCTTCTGCTTTTTTTTCGTACGCTGCTCATGTGCTACTGGTCTCAGAGAATTTCTGGCCACATTTACTATGAACAGTGTCTGATGCAGTTCAGTTTTAGATTGCAACTGCATTAACTACAGCAGCCCAGCTTCGTGGAGACTTTGGTCATGACTTCTGTTGCTGCTGCCTTAGTTTTCCAAAGGGTTTGTAGTTCTTAGAGATTCTAAGAAGTTGATTGAGAGCAACTCACAGCATGGTTAGTACTTACACTCAGAGTGACCATTTCTGATAATTACGTGTTTTTGTCTTAGCTGCTGTCTTAGGAGACTAGGGGTCTTTCTCATCAGTATGTTTCTTTTGCTTACTCTGTGAGCCTGGTCTTCTCTTGTGAAATTTCTCCTGTGACAGCCTATAACATGTGCCAAATGATTGGCCTCTACCGGTGTCGCAGTAATTACTTCAGAGAAAGAGTTCTGCATAAGACATCACACAACATTGAACTGAGGTTGATGAGATGCAGTAGGTACAGAGTGCTAAACCTGCCCTAGGCAGGTCTATAAAGAGGCTTTGTTCTATAGGGAAATTCTGGAGACTGATGAGTTGGATAGTTTAAAGTGTTTAGTGAGGCCCCGTAGTTACTGAGGATCATTGAAACAGAATACAAATATAAGGCTCTCCAAGAATGAATTCTTAATGAGACTTCAACTGTTTCACATTCAGATATGCCTACTTGTAGTATTTTGAGGAACTGTCCCAGGGTACTTGATGTTATTTGTGGCTAATTCCATCCTGTTTCTTTAGGAGATGATGAGCAAAGTGATTGGTTTTATGAAGGAGAGTGTGTTCCAGGATTCACTGTCCCGAACCTTCTTCCCAAGTGGGGAGCGGATCACCGATCTGAAGTGGAGAGGATTGACTCAGGCCTGGACAAGCTCTCTGTTTCCACCTTCCTTTTGCCCTCACAGCCAGCTCAGAGAGGTGAGGTCCAAAGGAATTGTATTTGAGAACTTGTGATGTGATGGCAAGAGTAGATTCTTTTCATAGGTGTTGCATTTAAACTGGTATTGGTGATCTGATTAGGTTTTTTTTTTTTAAGATCCAGTTAAGAAAAAGCTGCACAATTGGCGAGTTTACTGAAATAGTTGTACCAGCTGCCCATTGGCAGTCTTCCTTTTCTTAAATGTAAGGACTTTATTTGATTTGTGAATAAACTGGCATATCTGCATCTTCAAAACTGAAAAACAAGAGACAGAGGATCTGATTTGATTACTGAACTAAGGAGTTTTCCTGGTGGCTTTGTCAGGAAGAATCTTTTATGTTCATTGTTCAGTTTTTCTGCATTTGGTTTTCAGGATTTCATGCTCGCCTGAATCGCCTTCCAGGAGCTGCTGCCCGTTGTCTCCGTAAAGGTCGGAGGAGGCTGGTTGGCAAGGTATGACCTTTTGAAAGATGATCATTTTGTATTTCAAATTCTGGTCAGCCCTGAAGTACTATTCTAAGATACCACATAAATTGTTTTCTGCAGAATGTGGTCCTGTAAATTTTTTGTTTCATGTGTTGTTTGATTTGTTTAACTGCTTTGACTGTCAGAATGTGATTGAGTGACTAAGTGGATTTTAAGGCACATTTGGAGTGGCAAAGGCAGCTGATCAACACTGAAAGCAGTATGAGAGGAGGCCTGAAGAAGAATGTCAGGGAGCATAAATATCAAGAAGATTTAGACAGAATGTAGGGGAAAATGATGATGGTATGAGACTTGTGCATGCTCATCTGAGGCTACAAGGGCAGAGAGGTGCCTCAAAGGTGAAGGAAGGCCAAATTTTATATAGGGAAGAAGACTGATATGAATGGCAGCAAAGGAAGGTGGTTTTAGCAGTTGCACTTTTAGTGGGAAGAGAGGAGAGTAAAAAGGTATATGCAGTAAATGCAGACAAAGCTGCCCAAAGCTGTTGAGTAGTTTTAATATACTAGGGCATACACGAAACAACATATCAGTCCTTTTTCTAATAGAACAAACAATACTTTGCAGATGTCTGCCTACTTTGCAGGTGTCTGTCTAAAAGAGAGGGGTACACCTGGTTGGGTCTGCATCATGGAATATTGAGCACTGCTGTTTGTTATAAAAGATGGTTCTGAGAAGGAAGGTGTTGGCTGTGTTTGGCTTTTCTTTTTATTGTGATGTGCTCTGTGCTTTTGAGAACAATGGCATAAGTTCTGAGCTGGCTGCTGTAGTCTGCTAACAAGGTGTGTTAGGGGGGCCTGGAGTCTAGCGGGGTGTGACAGCTGCCTTCTGTTCAGTCATACTTGAAAGATCCTTGTCTGCCCCTTCTTTCTTCCACTCACCTTGCTTAATTTTAACCGGCATTCAAAATCTGAATCCTCAGCTGGCAAGAAACTGACTTTACACAGGGTTCCTGAGGCCACCTGCAAGTGCCTGGGCCTGGCGGCACACCTCTAATGATCCAAATGAGAAGGATAATATTTACTTGTTTAATTCATCTTCATCACCTTAAAGGGATCTTTGTCATTTGCAGTGGAGGTCACTGCTCCCCCTTCCCCATCTCTCTCGAAATTGTAATCATAAATAATGAGTTTCATTCAGAGCTCCCCGGCAGCGAGCTGCTAATTACCAAAAGTACGGCTTGTAATTTACACAGTAATAAACTGTAAATTTAAACATTATAGCACTTTAAGTTAATAATTTTCCTGCTGTAACAAATAGCCCATCTTTCACCCCTGCTGCTACAGCTGCCCCCAAACTTTGAGTGTGTTTTGCCTATATACCTGGCACAAACAAACCTTACCTGTGGACGACTTTTGCCCTCATCTTCAGCCCCTTGCTGAAAAGCATACTTCTTTCTTGGAGGCAGTTGCTATGCAGATGTGAACAGCTGGTGCTTCAGGCTGTGCATGCACGTGTATGCCAGCATCGAGCACATACACAGGGCAGCATCTTGCAGGAAGCAACATGCTCCCACAGCAAGTCCTTTCTCCTAGGACCTGCCTTTCTTCAGTTGCTGGAGGTCCTGCTGCTGAACTGCTGTTTTCAGAAATGGCAAAAGCATCCTGCTTTTACTCCTTAATTTATTAATTGCTGGTTGGTGAATGTCCACTGTTAATAGAACGTTGTAGTGTCCTATCTCAGCCTGTTTCTAGCCCAACTAACCCCAGTAACATGGAAAGAAGCATTTCCCAGCCGTCTCCTCCACTCTCATGCATCCTTTTGCTGCATACTTTGCTCTAGTTCAGTTTATGGTGTGCCTCTCTGCAAGGAAATATCATCAATAAAAATAAAAATAAACCAAGCCTCATAAATAAAATTGAATTATTTTCTGCTATTTTAATTAGTTAAATCATCTCAGGTGAAGTTCTAAAAGGAAGGAATAAACATGTTTAGCTGAGAGTGGGCTGGTGAGGAAAGGATGTGACCCAGGGGAGTAATATCTGTTTTTGCTGGCAGCAGCAAGCTATTTTCTGCTCACTGTGTGAGGGTTTGCAACCTTTTGCCTGTCTTTGTGTTTCAGGAGACCTCCATGAGCACTCTGGGCACTGAGAGGCTAAGTCACATTGTTAATGATCCACGCCAGAAAGAGTAAGGCCCATAACTTCTGTTGTATAGAACTTTGGGAAGGGAAGAAGAGCTACAGGATCCTCTTCCCTTTCAGGGGGTGAAGAACATGAAGAGCTGGGTGGGCAATTAAGCATAACCTGTGGAATGGGAGACAGTATTCTACTGATAGTTGCTCTGTTTTCTTACTTGTAATTGCTGACTTCCCCTTTGTTATATGTATATGTTTATATAAGGCTGTCCCAGTGTGTGGATGCTACTCAAATGCTCGTTTTTTACAGTCAGCTTTTTTTTTATCCTCCCTTATAATGTGCCATTGCAGTAACTGCAGATCTTTGGGACATTAAGAGAAGACTGAGCCCCATATGTTCATTTTTTAAAATGCTTCTTTGTGGAGCTGTACTATGGGTGCATACCCAGACTGCAGAAATGATGCTGACAAGACAGATGTGAAATTACTTCTTCTATCTTTGGTGTTATGTCTCCTTCCACAATTAGTGCATTTAAATTGTAGTCAGCGCTGGAAATAGTCTTGGTGTTTATCCTTTGGCATCTCCCTAATGCTGTTCTGGGGAATGGGTAGGTAAGGGTGGCACGTCTTGACTGTAGTGCAGTGGATCCAGCCTTCACCAGCTGTTAATACCTTATTTTCTTCCTTGGATATTAAATTCGTTGTTTTTAATATGACTCCTGATGATGTTTAATCTTTTTCCTTCTCTCTCCATCTTTGTTCTTCCTTTCCCCTTCTTTTCTTATCCCAAACCCTCCCAAATCCCTTTTCCCCTCCATGTTCATTCCTTGGCATTGTGCCCACCTGTCCTTGCAACTCTGCCTCCTTCCAGTTTTTGGTTACCATCCATGGGGAAGAGAGACCGCAACCAGGTAAAGAGACTCTGCTTTTCCTTTTTTATTTTCTTGGTTCCCTTCTCTCTGGAAAGGACACAGTGCTGGCTTCTGATTTCTCACACACTGTGGCCTGTGTACTTGAGGTAAGGCAGTCCTCTCCCTTCTCATTTTGTTAACTGATGTCTTCTGGACTTTGAACACAACCCATTTCCTGGGCGTTGTATTGACTATTTAAACTGAATAGCACAGTTTATACTTTTATTTATCTCACTGTTTCAGGTTAGTGTTTGCCATCCTTTCTGGCAGTGAGTGGGAGGGAAGATGCCTCTTGACAGGAGGAGCTTAGGCCTCTCAAAATTCCATAAGAATTGGAACCTTATTCTCTTTTAAAATGCCTTTTTTTGCCTTGTTTGGCTCAGGCTTCTACGTGAGAGTCTTATCCACAGAGAAGGGAAAAAATGGTGAGCTTAAATTTTGTAGTTAAATAGCTGTAAAATGTAGTTAAATAGCAGGAAAATGTAAGAGGTGATAAGCAAGAGAAATAGGCATTCTTGTAACTGAAACTCTTGTGTGTGCACTTTGATATTCTCCAGTAAATCTTTCTCAGCTTCAGTGGTAGGAGATTTTTTTTACTTTAAGATATAAAAGCTCAGGTTCTTGATAACAAAGAGCAAAAAAAACATTCTTCCATTTGAGCAGTCATATTGTAGCAGTGCTCCTGGCCATGCACACTCCTTTCTATTCCTATATGAGTTGTTTTATGGTTGGTGAGCAGTAGGACTGATTTTTTTTCCCTTTCAGGTGACTAAAAATACATATATGGTAAGAAATAATTTTCAAACCATTGTGCAATTGCATGTTTTTCATTAGTGAGAACATTTTACAGATTGCTTTCATATTGTTGTAATTATACTCTTATCTAAAGATAAGAGTAACTACATAAGCTTTAAAATGACCAAAAGTAACTTTTGTTTTTCTTAAATGAACTTGAATGAGCCATTCCAGTAACAGGGGGTTCCTGGTGATTCTCCCTGCTGTGCAGTTGCAGTGTTACTGACAGTAAACAAGCAGACCCACTTCAGGAGGAGCTCCCTGATAGCAGCAGCTTTGTGGTGCATCTTCTTTCTCAGGAAGGTGGAGGGTAAAGGCCTAGTACTGAGTTCTGAAGTTGCAGACAGCTTGTATGAGGAGTCCAGCTATAGGTGTGGATTGTTCCTTTTTCCTTAATTAAAAATGCATCAGTAATCCTAGTAATACAAGAAAAGCGTTCTGGAGATTGGTGTAGCACTTTGCAAAGCAGATGGAAATTAATTTTGTGCTTGAGGTGTGAATTATAAATAAAGAGGAAATAATAAATGGAAGTATAAAGCAGGTACCTCAGAGAGACTACCAGTCTAAAGCTTCTGTTTACATGTTGAGTAAAGTTTGTTCCATGCATTGATTGACCAGATTATTCCATTTCTGTCCTGACCATTAAAAATCCTGACCACTGCGTTTTGTGCAAGCTGTCCTGCACGGGTTTGATGCCCTCAAGATTTGTCTAGTGTATGTCTAATGGAGTAGCTTAGAGTAGCCTGACCATGCATTGTTTCAAAAATTTGTTTTAAGCAGTTTGCAAAGACAGCTTGTGAGGCTGGAGGAGAGTGAACAAGCAACTCACTTGCTATGGATCAATTGGGTGCTCATTGTGAGCTTAACCTGGTGGGCCTGAGTCTTCTAGAGGTCCGTTTCAGTGATACACACAACCCCTGGGGATACAGGAACTGCTCTGTGCTTGCACAATTCATAACAGTGACTTTTTTCTCTGCAATGTGAAGGCAGACAAGAGACTGTCTGAAAGAGCAGCAGATTTTTTTTCTCACAGCGTGCAGCAGTAGAGCACTTATGCTCTTAATCAACCAGCATTTTTAATAATGCAAGCTGGAAGAGGAGTTTGCTGAGGCTGTCTGTTGTGAGAAGGTGGTTATGAGATTTGCTGTTTCACCCTTTGTGCTAGCCTTTTGTCGGAACTGAGAGTCTGTTCTCATCTAGTCTTACCAGTTGAGGTGCCAGAAAGGTCTCCTTCTACTATGTGGACAGCTGAAAGTCTCCTTATACTTTGTGAACAGAACAGATCTGAGGAGCTTTATCTGGACACTTATTTCTTTTAATGCTTTGCTTAAATAAAATCTCTTGACTTTCCAGTTCAATCCATTATCTCCTCTCTACTCTCTGGATGTGCTTGCTGATGCTTCCCACCGAAGATGCTCACCAGCACACTGCACTGCCAGGTAACTCCCTTGCTTTGCTTTCTTGGGGTTGTCTCACTTCCCTCTCCTGGATGTCTTCAGTAGTACTGTGTGATCTGAACAGGAATGGACCTGTAACTTAACACACTTTTCCCTGGGAAGTCCAGGTCCAAACTTAGCACAAAATGTAGCAATGCACTTTATTTGAGTTGTGTAAGCACAACTAAGTGCTTACAGTATACGAAACAGTGTATGACAGACAGGCAGAACATACTGTTCCTTTAGAAATAACTGCAATGTGTTTTGATATGTGCAATGAGTTGCTGTAAGTCTGTTATATAGGTACAAATGGACATAGTATCATTGCCCACTATTAAAATTGGAACAAGATGAGAGGGAAAATGCTGACAAACTGGTGTAGGTGACATGCTGAAGCATTTTGCTATCCTAGGTGTCTAAAATAGACCCTCTGAGCAGATTAAGAACTCACCTGAGGTGACCTCTAAAGCTTGATACCTCTCTGTAGCAATAGCTGAAATTTAGATCTGGTTTGGCCAGATGTTAGGTATATTTGAGTCTGCATGGTTTGGATTAATATACTGTTCAGGCACCTTCTGCTGACTAATCTTAAATTAAATTCAAGTGTTGGCCTTAGAGGTGACTCCTGGTTTTGTGCTGCAGGTTACTGTCTAAAGGTAAGGTGCCCTTGAGCTCTTTTTCCTGTGCAAGTAGAGAAGGCCTTGCTTTGGACACAATTCTGCTTATGTACTTGTACCAGGGGCCCAATCTGAAAGAAATGTCTGGACTTTCAGCTTCATGGCTTTCTTTCCCTTGTTAATTAGCAAATAGAGCATGAAAAATGTACTAAGGTTGTATGTGTCTGAACAGAAGCTTGGCACCCACCCAGCAAAGCCTCTCTTCCACTGGCTTCTGCAGGGAATTCTGCGATGTCGCACCATGACCTCATGCTGCTGTAGCCAGCATGTTAAAGCTGGAAAAGGGGAGGGAGGAAGAAATCAGCTCTTAAATGTTCAACTGGATGAGAATGAAAGGAATTCAGAAGATTGTGCATCAGCAAATTGATTCCTTTCTGTGCTTTTGCCCCACTCTGGGGATGTTTTCTGCCTGGGAAGCAAGAAGATTGAATGGTCTCTTAATTTTCAGCTAGGATAGCCTTTCTTTTGTCTCCAGTGTTTTAATTGGTGCTTTATAGAAGTTTGTCTTCCAGAAAGGTGAGCTGGACAAATCCTGCTTGCAAATTCAAGCTGGGCAAAATTTCTACCTCTGTGATGGTCAGTGAAGGCCCTTTGCAAAGCCAAGCTCTTTGTAAGGGATTTCTAAACCTTGAGGGATTGTGTTTGCTAGGTTTTTCTGAGTGTATAGCCTAGGTAACCCGTTAATATATATGCTTGGTTCCCTCCTTTAATGAACAGATGGCTGGTGTCCTGACAAACATAATCACTGATGAATCGTTACTGAGTTGACAGAGAAATTGTGCCATACCAGATGCAATCATGTTTTTAAATGCCTGGAATTTGAGAAAGTAGTTCCTATTTTAGTGTGAGATGTACTCAAGAACCTTTATAGAAGAAAGAAATGTGAAAAGAATGAATGTGTTTTGTGGCCTCACGTATGTGGCAAGGATTGAATGCTTTGGTTCAAGGAACTTCCTTTATGTAAAGATGCTGCTAAGGGCACAGAAGGAGATTGTTCCTTCAGAGAAACATCTTAATAGTAGTTCTTCTTTAGCTTTACATGCCAAACATACAAGTTAGTAGTCCATTTTCTTACAGGAGGTTCAGCTGATCTCTCTAAGCTCTGATAAGCTATTGCCCCAGTTAACATCTGCTTTTGCCATGTTTGGAATCAATTTCAGTAGTTTGTGCTTCAGGAAGCTTCTAACAGCTTGCACCTCATCCTGGAGAAATTCTGTTCTGAAACTTGTTAGAATGGGATGTGCGTGTGTGTGGGAAGCAAATTCTCTCAAATAATATGAAAAATATTGGAAAAGAAATGGTCGTGATGTTGTGGCCATCCAGTTTCTTCAACCTGATGCCTGCTGTGCCATGCAAAATCTATCTCTGCTTGGTTTTTGCTGTGACAGAGTGTGTCCAGTGGAGTATATTTAGAATGGAGTCTTTTCTCTGCTATGGAACTGTTTTCTTTGTCTCACTGATAGATTTTGGTGCAGTTTATCTGGAAGACTGGTAACCCAGTATTTTTGTTTAAGCAGAGCTGAAGGCCAGAATACTGAGTGCAGCTGAGGATTGTGAAGGAACCTCCTCCTTGACACTGACAAGCCCATGTGGAAGGTTCTTTGGGAAGTCTTATTTGAAAGGCAGTATAAATCATACACTACCTTTCTTGATTTATGTCTGTGATGAGAAGAGCTTTCATTCAAAGTGTATGCACAGCACTGGGAATTTCACACCCATCATTAGAAGCAGTTTTGTGTGTGTGGTGACTGTTATCATTAGTGGTATAATTTTATTTTGTGAAGCAAGGAGAGTTTTCTGCTTTCTTGCAGTCTTCCCAAGGGATGGCTGGTGTATTAATTTGCTGTATTGCCTCCTGGCTGTTCCCAGACTGTTTTTCCTCTTCATCATGGAATTTTTAATGGCCCGGCTGCCTCTCGGGAGGCATGCAAGGAAGAGTACCTCAGGGATCTCTTCTTTTTTCACATGCCTATAATTACTCTCCTTTAAGAGCACAAAACGTTTGCTAATCATGTCTTGTCTGTTAAGGTTTCGACTTCATGATGCAGACTGCTAAAAGCAAGCAAGTAGAGACTTACACAGGCAACTCAAGGGATCCTTCCCTCTTTCCCCTCTGCCCGTTTGCCTCTCTGGGAGGAGCGGTCTGAGCAGAATGTTGTTGTTGAGCTTCTTCTACTTAAGAGGATTTTGTATAGGCTGAAGCTGAATATTTTATTAGATGTTGGTTATTCAATATTCTGTAGCTGAGAAGATATTGTAGGATATTGTAGGTTGTTGGTTGATGGAATGCTATTCCTTTGAGGCACGATAAGAGTTTCAGAAGAGCCTAGAACCGATGTTCCCTTTAATTTGAATAGCAGGCAGAATAAGAGAGAAAGGTAGAAGATAAATTGTCCCTAATGCCATTTATTATTTGCCTAGCCTTGAAAATAGGATTATGAGTGAAAAAAGGCAAGTAAATGTTCCCACTGGAGGTCATAGGAAAAGTGGACCTTGGATGGCAGGCAGATGTTGAAGGTGGAGACTTGAAGAATTGTATTAGACCTTTGAACAGCACATATAGAGAAATGCTTTGCATGTACTCTGTTAATACTAACTGTAAATTTAGAGTTTAATTTGATTTAGAAGCAAGTCTGTCATCTTGCCTGGAACATGGTATAGAGATGTAAAGGCATGCGTGATCTGATTTACTGCCAGTTGCCCCATATTCTGGGTTTAGTGGTGCTGTTAAATTGAACAGACTTGAATGTCTCAAATTCTAGTTCTGGCTCTAGAAATACTTTTGTGAAAACAAATATTGTTCTGTCACTTCTGTATCTGTACCCAGAGATCTTGATATTTCTGCTTCTTACCCCTGAGCATGTGGAAATACAGGGATTGCCTGCAAGGTCAGGCCTTTTCTGAGGCAGCCAGAGGAGTGAACAGATGTCCACAATTTCATACTTTTCCCACTTGAGCAAGACAGTATCCAGTTCATTCTAGGCAACCCTTCTCCCTATTTTTTTACTCATTTTCCATTTAGCTGGAGGATTTTCATGTCTTCTTTTGCTAAAGCCTGGCTAATACTGCAGTTGGGAATATAACTGAATTCTTCTGACAGGCATGCAATGAACAGCAGCTATCAACCTAGTGTCACATGCAGTTGACTGGGGCCTAATATTCCTATTTGGATGAATCCTAATTCTCTGGAGTGAAAAATAAATTCCCCTTGGCTTCAGAATTTTTTTGTTTTACTTGCTATTTCAAATCTATGTACTCAGCAGATCTGACAAACAGTAGGAGTCTTTCTGGCACAGTTACAGTGTGATTCAGTGTGAAAATAGGGAATATAATATATGGGATCACATCTTTGCTTAGAGTTCTTACATGGAAAACAAGAAGAAAATGCATTCACTTGCATTTGCCACATGCAGACTGTTAGGAATGAAATTGCCACATCATTATAATGCTTACTTGGGGAACAGACTGCTGCTGTTGAAGATCTGTGATATTTGGATGATTGAAGAAGTAAGCTGACCTATTAGAGATTTTGGAATCTGCAAATGTGCTCTAGAAGCCTTCCCATGAGGCTCTGCAGGGCATAGGAGACTGCTGTGCATCAGGAATATCTACACTGGGATGTGATAGCAAGAACCACTTGTGCGTGTGGGAGCTTTGCATGCAGATAGGATGAGCGACTTGTATTGATTTACACATGTTATGTGCAGATTAGACTGGTGCCCAGCTGGCTCTGTAGTCAAAGAGGAGGAAGAAGTCTGCTTTTACTATTAATTTTGTGAAGCCACCATCAACAGCCTCAGGTAACACCTCAGGGCTTAGAGAAAGAGCCTTTCATTTGGGTTGTGTTTGCTCTGAATAAAGCATCACAACAGCAACAGCTGGGTTGTGTGGAGATTTAGTAGCAGTATCTTTGTTAAAAGGCAGTCTCTATTAACATTCACTTTAACATGAGGATAATAACATCCCTTGTTTTTCTAGTAGTAGACTAATGACTGCCTCTCACTGTATAACGCCTTGCTTCTTCTGAGGATAGGGTTAGAATAAAGAGTGTAAGCAGGCAAGCTGGATGATGTGAGATGACAGTGAGAGGCATACACCCCCAAGTGTGCAGTGTGCCTCTTGCCTCCAACAAGGCCACAGGTTGTCATATTTAGCTCTGTATGGCCTTTTCAGAGACCTTTCTTGCAATATTGAGCTGGTTTTTATCCAGAATTTTCAAAGAGTGGATTTCATGCTACAGTTTAGATTTCACAGATGGTGAAGTTTTCAGGGTCCTGATGCTGTCTTGTAAGATTCTTTGTGCAATGGTATCTGCTTGTGCTCTGTATTGTCTCCCACAGATTATATTGCCAATCCTAATTTTCTGTTGAAATACTGTGGTAGATGTGAAAAAGTGGCAAGCTCTCATGCATGGTCATCTCAAACTGCAGAAGTGAGATGGGAATCCTGTGTATGCAAGCACTGATCATTAAAAGTCATGTAAATAAAGTCATAGAATAAGTATGTGGAAAAAAAATGAAAGGAAGCATTACATTCCATTAGAGTAACACATTACTCTAATGTGTTACTCTAATGTGTGACACATTAGAGACTACCATGAATTTAATCTTTCTGCATAACAAAGCCTGTTTTTTCTCAGCATGACCTGCATGCAGATTTGGGTACCATAAGTGCTATGTTAAAAACAAAAGGCAAAAAGTATTTCCTGAATAATTCCTTTAGTTTGTCATTACAAAAAATATTATCACTGTCAAAAAGACACTATAGACTTTTCATATTGTTGAAAGCCATTTTTCTTATATAGGTGTAATTTTTCATTCACTAACTCCTGGCAGTGACTGCTGTGTGAGTTGAATATATTGCAGCCAACAAAACAGCCACATTTTTGATCCTGATTTGTTTCTCTAAGTGTGTTCTCCTTTTTCTCTTCCCGGGTTAGAATTTCTGTTATCTCTAGATTGTAAACTACATTTTCATGTTAGTCTCTGGTCACCTGGCAGATCCATCTGTGACTAAGCACTGCAACTTTGTTTTTTTCTTATGATAAACCTGTCATAGTCCAAAAGAAACCAGGGAATTATTTTCTCATTACTGTTTATGCAAAATTGAAGAAAGCATGGATGCCTAGCAGAAGAGAGTGAAGACTAGTAAGGACAGTGTAAGTTCTATTTTACTTTGTAGATTTAAGCCCAGATCTTTCATCTCACAAAATTCTGGTCTCAAACTTCTTCACAGAAGGCTGTGACAATGCACAAATATGCATTTTCTGTCAATCTTTACTGTTCTATTCTGCTTTAGAGTAATTTTTAATTGTTCAGAAGAGTTGTTAAAATTCAGCTTTGGAAGGAGAATTAATTCGTCATTGCAACTTGTGATATTTTCATGTCTTATAGTTCAGCCTGTCACTGATATGGTGGGTGCTGTGCATATCCATGACTTGATTTTCCTAGTGGTGGTGTTTGTAGCAGTCTATAGGAGTCTGCTTTTAAACTGAGATTCATGAATTCTGTTACTTCACTGATGCAGACCTTCATGCAAGCTAGTGATTAGAAATTTACATTGAAAAGTGTGCTATCTATCAATAATCTCCATATTTCATAAGTTATACCTCAGACATCTTTTCTGTCCAGGCCTTAATGAGGACTATCATCCCTGAATGCAATCTTCTGCTCTTCTCTCTCCCAAGGTACTTACTACCTGGAGATTCCCTGCAGATTTATGGTGCCTGTAAAGTGCACCAGCCTCTTGAAATGACACTTTTACCACGGGGTCAGTCAGAGCCAGTGAATAATCAATAGGTTCCTGATTTACTAACTGAAGTGTGTGTGATCAGTAAGGGATAAACCTGAAAGAAAAACATGTTATAGAGACAATTTATGACCTCTGAGCCTTTGTATCTTACTAGATACAACTACTAGATAGAGCATTTTTGCTAGTAATCTTCCGCTGAAGTATGATTTGTCTTTACGTGCACTACAAGAAGGGATTTTAAGATTCTTCTGTTTTCATTTTTCTTTTTTTTACCCCTTGTGTAATCATCAGGTAAGGGTAGATGTTCAAATATGTAGCAGAGAGCCAGGAGCTTTTATGCAAAATCTAGCTGTAATGTTTGTGAGCTGGGAAAAATTGCATAAAGTCTCTTGGAAATGATAGTACATACTCCTCCTAGGATCAACTGGTTAATGTTGGTATAAGTTCAAAAAATAAAAAAGGGAACATTTAAAATTTATTTTTGTTATTACATTATTTAAAATTAATTGGATTATTATGTACAATTATATAATAGTCTTGCAGTTAGTATTCTAATGCTTTGTCACTGATGCAAAATAAAAAACAGAATCTTTTCTTCAGGCTATGTGTGTTTAGATGTTTCAGAATATATGGTTAAAAGCTGTGTTAAAACACTGTATAGCCACTATTATAGTCATGTACAAAATCAGTTTTTAGCATTCACTGAGTTACTTAGAGGTAAGTAACTTTGGTGTACAGACATGAGATTTGAATGTGCATTCTGTAGATGTGCCACTATTTTTGAAAGCTTTTTTACCTCCAGGGAAGGTTTCTCTAACCACCTCCCTGCAGCTCATTCCAATGTTTGACAACCCTTTCCTTGGAGAAAGTCCTCCTGATATCCAACCTGAACCTCCCCTGGTGCAGCACGAGACTTTGTCTTCTCATTCTTCTGCCAGTTGACTGGGAGAAGAGATTGACCCCCACCTGGCTACACCCTCTTTTAGGTAGTTGTAGAGAGCAATGTGATCTTCCCTGAGCTTTCTTTCCTCCGGGCTAAACAACCCCAGCTTCCTCAGCTGCTCCTCACAGGCCTTGTGCTCTGGATCTTTCCCCAGCTCCATTGCCCTTCCCTGGACACGCTCCAGCACCTCAGTGTCCTTTGTAGTGAGGAGCCCAGAACTGAACACAGGACTTGAGGTGCAACCTCACCAAGTACAGGGGAATGACTCCTTCCCAGGTTCAACTGGCCACAATATTCTTGATCCAAGCAATGATGCCCCTGGGCACACACTGGCTCATGTTCAGCCACTGTTGATCAGCACTCCCAGGCCTTTTTCCTCTGGGCCGTTTTCCAACCACCCTTCCCCCAGCCTGCAGTGGTGAATGGGGTTGTTGTGGCCAAAGTGAAGGACTCAGCCGTTGGTCTTGGTGAGTTTACTGAGAGTACACTCCATCCCCTCAGGAGACTTTGTCTGGTTGTATTCATATGTGCTCCCATATTTGAAAAACTAGCTGGCTGTGAAACGTAGCGCTATTTTAAAATTTTTGAAGCTGTTCTTCAATGTCAGATTCAGAGGACAGATCTTATAGACTTCTTGTAGAACTTTTGAATTTTAGTTGAGAAGATGGAACAGTAGGTGTTATTTTTTTTTTTTTGTGGTTGCACGTTTTATTTCAGGTAAATAGATAGATCCAGCAGCATTCAAACAATTTATAAACTGGACTAGTATAGGAATTTCCTTGTGGTCCCTGCACTGTTCTGTATAGATACAAAAGCACAATTTGGTTTTGCACAAATTCAGCATCTAAAATGATACATATTGTAAATATGTGGGTTTGTTTTTTTTAATAGATTTTTGTCATGAAAATAAAACCCATTAAGTTTTTCTTTTTTTTTATATTTCAAAGGCTTTAATGTGTGTTAAAAGTGTTTGTTAAACTTTCAGGATTTTTTTTAAAGTCAAAGTAACAAGCTTTGAAGACACTGAAGCTTTTCAGCACTTAATCATCAAAACTTGTAGGGTTACAAATTTTACATCATGTAAGCCCCTCACAGTCTTTAACTGATTTTATTTGCACTGTTCTGCATTTTGCACATCAGATCTCAAGAGTGGCCAAGGAACTTGCCAAAGGAAGTCTGTTATACTGGACAAAGAAGGGATTTGAACCCAATGTCATTGCTAAATTATGCCTTTATATCCATTATGGATGGTATTTGAGGAAGTTCTCTAGTCTGCTGCAAAGACTGTTATTTCTGAATTAAATTTCTCTGCTTCCTACAGGTACATGACTTGGAGGAGTTCTCAGCTCAAGTCAGTTCCACCCATACAGATTTATTCTTAATTGGCAAATAGCTACTTCTTAATTGGCAAATGATTAAACTGAAATGGCCATCAGTAGGCTTCAGACTTAACAGTTGGTGTTAACAGAACAGATTAAGCATTTGAGCCAGTTTAGAGGTGCAGCAAGGCTGCCATAAGTCAGATTCAGCTGTTTGCACAGCACTTCAGTAAGGAAATAATGATTTTAAAAACACATGAGAAAGCTTTGTGTTCCTAACTTTATGAACTTACTACTGTAATGGAAACAACTTGTGTGGACATTTGGCATTATATGTACATTCTAAGATGACTCTACAGTACCAAATAGATTGCAAAATAATTTCTGACTAAGGAGCAAGTATTACACAGTTTACATAAAGAGCAATCTTGCAGACATTTGTTATTGTTCCATAGAAGTAATAGTAGGACACATATCGCATCACTGCTTGATTACGTCTTTATATATGCAAGGAGTTAGTTTGGAATTAATACAGAACCAAAAGGTTGAAGGCTTTAAAGGCTAAGGAATAATTATTCTTCTGAGAAGTTTATGTGTGAGCTCTTAAAGGAAATGGGAGCATAATTTATATTGACAAAGAATGTGAGCAAAACTCCCTGAGAAACTTTTGGGTTGTGGTACTTACTAGTTAAGAAGCTGATGGGAAGGTAGGAGCTGGAGGTGACTGGTCAGTCTTATAGAAATGTGATATGGGAACTGAGTTTAATTTATTTTCTCCATAGGCAAGCAAATGTCCATCTGGGACCACCATGTTCAAGGGACATCAAGAGGAAACGAAAGCCAGCTGCAGCCTCCATGTCTAGCCCAACATCAGGTAACCTCCAGCATTTTTATAGTCGTGCCCCTTTTTAGCGAAGCACCACAGGCAAAGGTAGCATTACTTTGGTTTGAAACTAATCAAGTGTGTTGAGAGGGCATATTGTGTTTTTGTATAGCATCAAAAGCTGCCTACTGAACAATTTTTTGGCAGTGTAGCAGTGGTAAGTTAATTTGCAGTGCTTCACCTTACTGTGAATAGTAATCTGCTTCTTCATAAGGTGTTATTTCCACTGTCCTAAAATATGGAGTTCATAATAGGCAGTTGATCAGTATGCACAGAGTATTGGGCTGGCATTAGCTGGTGTCTCTGATGTCCTTTATCAGGGTATTTGTAGACACTTTCACAGGAGCAAAAATCTGGCAATTTTTGTGTAATCATTGGGTGAAACCACTTACTCCTTGGGGGTTGTCTTATTCTTTTGGATGAAAATAGTTTTTTCTTGTTATGGGGATGTAGTCATTAAAATACTGGTCTATTTTCATGTGGCAGATTTCTGAAAAGTCATTGATTAGTCATCAGAATATGAAAAAGCTATAATCTGGTGAACATGGTGGATTTTAGCATGTTCCTTTCTGTCCTTTGACCTTACCCTATCTTGCGACTATCCTCTGATACATGTTCTTCCAACTAGTTTATTAATAACTCTTGTAATCCAGTAACAAGGTAGTGGGTAAGATGATGGAAAAAATAGAGATGTAAAGACAGTGGGGAAGACCAAATAAACTGATGATTAATAGAGTGAAGTTTGTGCTTCTTCCTTGGGCTGGTGGATAGACAGAATAATGAAGTAGGGAAGAAAGCTGAGCTTTCTCTCCAGGCCACTGATCTGGATTGCAAACTGTTGGAAAGGTTCTTTACTAAAAAAATAAAGAGAAAACATTATTAATCTGTTTTCCAGCAAAAGTCTCATCTATTATTGATTATTTATTTAGGTTATTCTTTCCTGGCTTTTGAGTATTCCATTTTGAGATGTTTGAACTTCTGTAGTAAAAGGGATAGTATCTGAAACCACAGAATCTTAGCGCTGGAATACTAGATTTTTGTGGTGTGAGTGCTAATGTCTCTCTGTCCCCTGTTACCTGTCCATTTATTTATTATTCAGAGAGCTTCTGTTTCTATGCCTACATGTTTCAAAGTACTATTTAAGTTGTACTTACCTGATTAGGCAAATTGTATAGTGAACAGTTTTTGGAGAGTTGAGAGTGCATCTGAAGTGGAACTTAGCTCTGGAAATAGCACAGGGGCTTGGAAAGCTTTCTTACTATGGATGAGGGAGGGAGGATTGTTATGTATTACAAAATAAGGAAGAAGCATAGTTAGTAGAGTGTGGGCAGCATGCTTAGGCTGATCATCAAGAGGCAAGGTCTACAAAGTCCTTAATGGTCAGAAATGGCAAAGATCCCTTCCTGAGATCCTGTTTAGAAATATCCTCAGCCAAGTGAACAGCTATGGGAAGGGTTTGCTGCAATACTGACTTGTAGAAAGAAACTTTTGTGATTGGGTAACTGAAGTTGTGTCCTAAATGATGTTCTACTACAGATTCATAATTACAGCTGAAGCACAACCTGGACAAATAACTTGGAAACTTCTGGAATCTGGTCTTATTTCTGTCAAAGGAGATTTTGTTATGGAATTACTAATGTCTAAAAAGATACATAGTATCATTCTGCCATAATGTAGAATTAGTTGGACACTCTTACATTTGTTGGATACTGATGAGATAAAGATTTTTCTCCCTTGCCATGTATCTACTCACCCCCATGTAAATGTCATATACTGGGGTTCACATGAGGAGTGCCTGAGGAGTCGGGGCAGTCTCATTTTTTTCACTTCTGAGGCTTTTTATGTTTGTGGCATTTTACTTCTGCTAAAGGTGGAGCACTGGTAAATCAGAATACAGGCCTGTGCCTGTCATGCAGACACAGAGTGCTGGATTTCTTCACCTTTAAATAGCTCCTTCACTGAGTCCAACTGCTCTCGTCTCACTTGTTGACCAGGTCCTGCTTCAGTGATCTCCTTTTTTGCAACCTGAGTGCCCCGTGGAGGTGAAGGACACAGCCTGAGCTGGCTTCATCAGTCAGCAGAACAAATGGGCTTGCTGTGCCGAACATCGGGCCATCTCGGATTCCACCTCTTTTATAGAGATGAGTGATGAAGAGGGGCTCGTTCCGCTTTGCCGCTGTATTAATACACATCAGGGGCCAGCTCCCGGCACTAAATCACGCTACTGCATACATCTGTTATCGGACTCCTCACCAGTGTGATGAACAAGACTGCAGATAGAGGCTTCCTCGTGTCATTCTTTATAGGATTTTCCTAAAAGAATAAATAGCTCAAATCTCTGCCAACACTATCCCCTGTCATTGTGATGAATTTAGCTTCTTTCTTAAACATGCAGCTACAAATCTTCCGCTGTCGCCTCACCCCCCCCACCATCCACAGAAAGTTTTGAGTTGAATTTGGCTGAAATCAGAAGATGCTAATAAAAGGCAGATGAGATGTGGATGCCGTTTCCCTCCTCAGTGCAGGAATGAGAAAAGGCAGCTAGAGATAATATTTATTTGGGAACCAAGCAACTAAATTTATTCCATGTCTTCTCACATACTTTCAAGACTGAGAGTATTTATGAGTTCTGGTAAAGTATCTTTTCCCAGAGACCCTTGCATGAACATCAAAAAACTACATTACTGTAGAAGTGCCTTGGGTCTCTATTGTATTGCTATAGTATTAAAGTTCTGGTATTAATCCTGCTCTTTGAGGCTAACTGGCCTAAATACCATAACTGAGCTGTTGAGAACAACAAAACGTGGGTAGAAAATTCAGAATTAACTTGCACTTTAGGAAATTACTTTTATCAAAATTAAGTTGGGCAAACTTATGCAAATATTTAGAGAGACTGAAAATTAATGTTTTCCACACTACACAATTGAACTGTGTGAGCCCTAAAGCATGAGGCCTTTACCTGATAAAAGCAAAAATCTGGCTGTTGTAATTTGGCAGTAGAATAAGGAAATCTGGAGGAAGTTAAGGTTGACTGTACTGGATTAGACCAGAATTTCATCCAACTCAGTGACCAATAGCCACTGCCTAGGGAGGAAGATGATTTGTGGTGGTAAAGGTCCTTTGACCTTTCAGTGATCTGAGACTTGGAAGGCATGGATAGTGTCCTTGTGTTTAGTTAATTTCCACCGCAGTACAGTCGATTTGGAATAATATCCCCAGTGGCACAGTAGAGCTTGTCTGAGAAATTCTGCATAAAATGTTATTCTCATGGAAGTTATTCTCTGGTTTGAAAGGAATCTGATGAAGATTGTCACGTCTGTCTTCGTTTTGTCAGAATAGGCCACAAGTACAGATGGTTGTGTCATAAATGGTGAACAACTAACAATCTTTACACTGTTGTTTTTAGTGTTTATATGGTTTAATCCTCTGTGTATGTATGTAGCAGTGCACATGGTAACTGGCATCCTAATCAGCTATTACAGTGAGTCTAGGGTAAAAATCTGCATAAATAGATTTTTGTCTGCCTTGGCATGTATTCACACCTAGCTTGTAAAAAAGGTGACAGCAGCCTGTGAAACTGCTTATCAGAGAACAGTCTGATGAGTAGTAGCAATTTGGTGAATTTTCCTTCTTCTATTTCTTGCTAATTATTCACTCTTTGCCATACCCAGAAACAATAAGCCAGTTTCAGTCTTTTCTTTTTCTCTTTTTATGAGGAAAGATGGAGAGCCTGAGTGTGGAGGCTGCTAGCAAGGGGCACATAGTGTGATTGTGAGTTTAAGGACTGACAGTTGTTGGGGTTTTTTCACATTTCATATGACCTTCAGATGGAGGAAGATGATGGGCTAGATCTAAAATTGCAAGGTACTTTTGTCAGCTGTGTTGTAGCTGTATGGGAATGACTCACTGTTTTGGATTTACAGAAGCAGCATTGTTGGGGTTCCAGATCTACTGAATGTGGAGCCTCAAGCATTGAACTGACTTTTTATTTAAACTTCAAAGCAATCTGTCCTCTAGTTGAGGCTTGCTATGGCCTCTTTATCCTTCATCCAGTACAGAGCAGCAGATGCAACTTGTAATTAAAACACACAAACAGCTATTATCTGTTGCGAGACTACAATGAAGAAATGCATTTTGTATTGAAGTAGTTACTTGTGTAAAAAATTCTGTTTGCTCCAAAGACTCCTATGGCAATTACTCTTCTTTACCGGGCGCTGTTCTGCTTGTGAGGATTGAGTTGGTTCAGGATACTGAGAAATGGAGTAAACTCTCATATCTCTAGGTTTTTGGCAATCCTTCTGGAAATTTGGGTGACTGTTGGGTTGAGCTATGGATCTGCAAATCTCTCTGGCTAATTATAGCCTGTCCCATTTTGAAGCAGTGGTTGTATTGAGAAAATGAGAATGAATTTCAATCTAATTTGGCAAGTAGTTTCTTGTCATAATATGCTGATTTACCATTTTGGATATATGTGTAGGTTCATGGTACCGCCCTTACTGGGGAAGTATGTTTTCCTCTTTAGATGAGCTCAGCAACCTGAAATTTGCCACAGCTTCAGAGACTTTGAAAGTCTCAAGGAGAGAGTTAATTGAGTCTTTGCAAGGAGTCTTAAGTTATTTTAAGATTAATGATTGTGAATTGATTCACATTAAATATGGGAGAGCTAAAACTTTTGGTTTTCAACAGGAACTCTGACTAAGGGAACTAGTTAGTGGACTGGGAACTTAGAGTTTTGAATGTTAGAGCAAAATGAATCATTAGAGCAAAATTGTTAATGCTATCAAGAACCTCTGTTTCAGAGGAATTTGGATGAAGAACTTTTAGAAATTCAATAAATAATATCCTCATAAATGAAATTATATATATGAGGAGTTTGCCATGAAGTTAGTTGTTCTAACATTTTTTTATTGCCCTTTCTTACTGTCTTCCTCTGTTCCCCTTTCCTGCAATTTTATATTTCAGCAACTTTATCTGTCTACATGGATGCAGCAGAATCAGAGCTACCAGCAGCACCATCTTTGAGATCCCAGAACTCTGAGTGGACTGGGAAAACACCAGCAGCTGAGAAATCTACTATTGCTGCCTCCAGTAACTTTTTTAAAATGCCACCAGAGAAGAGCCCTGGATACAGCTAAAAGGGAAGCACTGCAACTGTAAAGGCTTGCTCGACTTTGGAAGTGTTTGATTCTGGTGTTTGTCTGCACCAAACATCTTGTTTGGCAGTGTGGTATCTTCAGTATTGGTGCGTGGTGCGTGCCATCATCCAGGCTGGTCTGTGTGCCTCACACACCTAAATCATGTTTGTGAATCTATGTTTAAGAAAAGGTAATCAGTGTTGGGACTGCAGTGGCTTTTAGAAATTTTCCTGCTATCACTGTATTTATTATGAATTCATCTCTTTCCCTGATTCCAGCTCATATGTAATGGGTCATGTACAGGTTTTCTTTTGGGTTTTCAGATCCTTATTCACCCTCTGGACATGTTGCTTGTTTGTGTACTTGGCATTTTCAGGGTGAAAGTCCCACTGCCATTCAGGGAGGCAGGAGTCTCCCTCTCCTTGCTTCCAGACCAGAAGGATTTCTTGGCTGGGGAATGAGGAGGGAGTGCTAACACATTGAAACATGGAACCTGAATCCTGTATTAGCAGAATGTTTTCTGGCCATGTGCTAACAGACTCAAATCATGTTGCTTCTGGCAAAGCAAATATGGTGCTTGTCTTTGTAGAAATCGCCATTAGCACACTGACAGCATTGTCCATTCAACCCTTTCCTTCTCCCTTGTTCTGAATGTCTTCAGTCTTTATTGCATATTGCATGTTCATTCCTAAACCTCCTACTGGATAAGGATTTGGGAGAGCTACTTGGACTAAATGTGCAAGCTGGTGTCCTGGATGGAAACCCAGAGCCTTGAATATTGTTGCAGTGTGGTAGAAGATTATACAAAACATCCATATCTCAGTATATAAATTAAAAAATGTCTGTTAGTGTTAGTGTTTCTAAAGGATGCTTGTTGAAGTTAACATGCCATTGAACAAAAAAGCCATTTAAAGTGTCACCTGAGTTCAGAGCATTATAGGTATAGATCAGACTCCTTCTGTATCATGCTTCCTCTTCCTTCAAAAGTATTGTCTGCTACACCTACTGGAGGTGTCTCCACGTGCTGATAATTGCACATTACACTGCAGTGTACACTAAAGAGATTCTCTTCACAGAACGTCCACTCGGTCTGCTGTTACCTCCTGTGTTGCAGAATATATGGACAGGGATTTCTTCTCTCTCTGTAATAACTCTGGAGCTTATCTTGGACTATGTTTTAAGAATATGTACTTGTATAGCATGTACCAAGGAACAGGTGGCCTCACAGCTTCTTAAGTCCTTTTAGTCCTATTTGTATGAATAGAACTTTTTGCTTTCCTTGTGTGGAGCTTTCAGACAGGACTGTTTAAACTTGTAAAATCTGTTTTGATTGTGGCAGTTCATCTAGCACTCTTAAGCAGACAGCAAAATTTGTGTGATTTTACTGATTTTGCAGTGTTCTGTTCTCTTATGAATCAAATGACTGAGGGACAGATTTGATTGGGTGAATATGAAGCAGTGATTTATATTAGCTGTGTATTAAAATGGGAAATGGTCATAATATACACAAAAAAACCTGAATGACTGTAAATCATGATTGACAGATATAGTTAGTTATACTACATGCACACTGTGTCTGATCCCCTAATACCTACTTATTCTTGGGGCGACATCCAAATTGGATTTATATTTTGCAGCACAAGCAAACTGTCAGATCTGTCATTATAAATCCTTCTCAAAACTCTTTTTTTCTTTCTTTTTTTTTTTAATTTTTTTTATTTGCGTGGTACATTGAAGAAGTAATTAGAACGGGGAAACCCTTTTTACCTTAATGATAAAATACAGAAGTCCATTTGGATTACAGGACAAGCTGTAACAGTTTATAAAGGAAGAAGTGTTCCTGTTTTAAAGTTGTCATGGCTTTTTCTTATTTGTAGCTATTTTGAACAACGATGCCTAAGGGGTAACACAGGAAGTTTCAGCACTGGAGGGCCTGTAATCTAAAACATCTGAAGAGAAGGTAAACCTGAAGAGTAGTAGTTTGACTATCTAGTACTCATGAATACAGTGAATGGGAAAGGTGATAATGTTCTCCTGACAACTTGCAGATAAAATTTAGGATTTGAAGCCTTGTAATCTAAGCTGCATGCTGCTCTAATGATAATGAATGGTTCCCTAAAAGAGCATTTGTGAAATTGACTGGTTTTGACCTTGTGGAGTATCCTCCACAACCTCTCTTAGTTTGAGTCTGTTCAAGAGATTTACTCAGATTACTGACCATTCAGCTTTATGCAATAAATACAATTTATTTTATTTACATACAATTTTAGCCAGTGTATTCCCTTTTAAAAATCAGTTGTGATGTATCTTGCTACATTCTAAGTATTGTCCAAATAGTTTTTTTCTCTTCTGTGATGTCAGGATGCTTTAAAAGCTTTTTCAAGAAAGGTGTTAGGGAATCAAGAGCTTTCATCTCATTGTGGTGGTGGAGGGGTGGGTTGCAATGCTTCATGTGATTTTTCTCTGGGTGCAGGGAAAGAGAATTTATCACATTTTCCTATTGAGGTCAGTAGCACTGTTATCTGTTTAAGCCCTTACTTAGGTTGTAAGCTCCTAGGAGGTATTTCTTGTCTTTAAAGGCAGATTGTACCCGTGGCAGTACTGAAGAGCAACTGTGGCAGTGTCTTGACAAGCCATACTTCCTGCCATGGCAACTTTCTGGAAGTTCCAGGAGACTCCAATTATTGCAGCCGCCCTGTCTTTTCTATTTCTAGGTTAGAATCCATTTCCAAATCAGTCAGATTCTCAACCAAATTCTCCCGAGTGGTAGGCAACCTAAATGGATCATGTATCTTGTTACTCTAGGGTATTTATCAAAATATATCTTCAGACTTCAGTAACTTGATACAGATTTTAGTACCTACAGCATTATTAGATGAATAAAATAAGTCCATTGATTTGCCTCTTTTTTTCATCTAAGGCAGATTTCTTAGAACTCACTCTGCTCACACAGTACTCAGTGTGAAGGATACTGCTTCCCATGTGGACTACTTGAGTAGAAAGGAGTAATAACATGCCTTGCTTTAGTAGCTGTGCTTCTGCCAAGATGGTCCAGTATGTGATTATTGCTCCAAAGATACTCAGCTCACTCGTATTTCACTTTTTTTGCACCAGGATGTCCCAGTCTTTTTTCAGTTTTGTCTTCTCTCTAGTTGTCTTCCTCCTTGTCCTTATGGGACACTTCAACTTTGCAGACAGGACCTGGGAATACCATACTACAGTGTCCTCTTGTCCTTGTAAACTCTGAAGTCTGGGAAATTCCTGAAGTATGTTGAAGATAATTTGTAGTCACAAGTACTCAGCCAACTAGGAAAGATCCCCTCCTAAACCTGTTATTTATTAATGAAGAAGGATTTTTGAGAGATATGATGGTAGGTGGCTGCCTTTGCCACAGGATTGTGAAATGGGTCGTTTTAAAATCTTTGATGTAATGAGAAAAATGGTCAGCAAGGTTCCTACCCTGAATGTCAACAGAGCTGACTTTAGGCAACTCAGTGAGCTAGTTACTAGTGTGCTGTTCCTTGAGTCTGGTCAGTTTTTAGGAATCACCTTTTAAAAGCACAAGAGCAGGTGATCTCTGTGTTGAAAGTCAAACAAGCCATGCAGAAGACCAGCTTAACAGGGAACTCCTCTTGAATCTCAGGAAGAGAAGGATTCTATGATCTCTGGAAGCAAGGTCAAGCTTCACAGAAAAATTACAGAGCTGTATTTCACATATGCAGGGAGAAGATATTAAAGACCAAAACTTAATTAGAGTTGAAACTGGCCAGAATTGTTGTGTTAGACAAGCAAGGGTTTTTGAAGTACATAAATAGCAAGAGGAGGTCTAAGGAAAACATTGGACTGATATTTGTTGTGAATGATCACCTGACAAATTGGAGTGAAGAAAAGGTGGGGGGCATTCAGTATTTTTTTTGCCTTGGTCTCATTATAATACTGACAGACCTTGGGCTGCTCTGTCTTCTGATTTGGAGGATCGTTACTGTGGGAATAGTGACTTTGTGCACATGGAGATTGTAAGGGACCAGCTGAATGTTTGTAAGTCTATAAAGCCAGGTGGGATTCATCCCAGAGTACTGAAGGAGCTAGTGGTTGTTTTAGTGTGACCTCTCTCAATCCCTACTGAAGTCTGGGAAAGGTCTATCTTTGGGAGTCTGGGAAAGGTTTATCCTGACTAAAATCTACTCAGTGTTATTCTAGTTTACAAGAAGGGCATGAAGTGAGACCCAAGAAACACAGACCTGCTAGTCTAGCCCCAGTACCTGGAAAAATTGTAGAGGAGATCATACTGGGTGCTACTGAAAGGCAATTAAAGTCCTTTAAATCATAGAATCATAGAATATCCTGAGTTGGAAGGGACCCACAAGGATCATCAAGTCCAACCAAACAGGTCTGGTGAGTGATGTGGTGGTTGATGGTGAAGGTGTTGATACATACCCCTTCTTGTCTCTGGGGACCTCGTGCAATTGCAACAGTTTTTCACAGATGGCAGTGACCAATCTTAAAATGACACACTTCTGTGTATAGGGAGAAGATGGACAGAAAGAGAAATCAAAAACTGAGAGAAGCACGTTTCCTAGTTGTTCTTTGCACATTTCTGGTGGTTCAGTGAGCTCTAGTCAGGATTAGTGCCCAGCTTGGTAAGTCCTGGAGAAGACTGAATTAAAAGAATGTAGTTTCTGTCATGATGGATTTATGATTTTAAGGTACAGTAACAAGTGGAGAAAGCAGCAAAACAGGAGCTGGAGAGAAACTTGTTAGAGGCTGGGACTAGTGCTACTGGATGATAGATTAGCTTTGTGATTGTGGTATGCAGAGGTGTGTCTTGCCAGCATCATTCTTGAATAATGACATTGAGTAGGTTAGTGCTGTCCTTCAAACTGTAGATGCTCTTGCTGTCATAATGCTGGATGTTGTGGAGGTCTGCTTAGTGGGCAGAGGATGAGAAGGGAAATTGTAGGAAGGGCAACAAGAAGCATGATGGAGTGCCTCTTTTATTGTAACCCCTTCTGTACTGAAGAAGGAAGATGCTACAAAAACCATGTGTGCATACATACAAAAAGTATGTGTGCCTAGATGTTGAAAAGAAATTATGTTAAGTGGATAGGAACTTTGCTTCGTTGTCTTGAGGAACAGTTTGTAACCAAAGAATTTTTCAGTAAAGGAAAAGTAAAGGATACTACATTTGTTCAGAAAATGTCTTTTAATGGTCTGTTAGGAAACCATCAAAGGAAGATGAAGTTATGTTCTCATTGTTTTACTTCATTTCTGTGTTTTTGTTTCCTATATTCTGTTCCAGTTTTTGTTTTGTGATTGCGACATCCTTTTGTACCATCAAGTGGAGGAAAAATTCTTTACAGTAATGCTTCTTAAGGCATGAAGCATAAGGGGACACTTGCTATACAGGAGGTAAAAGATTATCTTAGGCCATTAACTTTACCCAGTACAAGGCTTGAACTCAGCACGGAGGACATAATGGCTTAATTGTACCAAAGCATCTCTTTTTAAGAGAGTGAATAGTGCCACAGTGCCACAGGCAGGTCAACTAAACTGGCAGCAGTGCCTGCAGACCCACGTGTGGCTGGGCCTCAGTCATTTGACATCTAATACAGATTTACATTGTAGAGACAGAAGGAACTTCCAACATCGTTCTCAACTTTAATGTGGTGAGAATGCCTTCCCATGCAAGCATGGCTGTCACTGTGAGTCCAGTGAGCTGAAAAGATGTGCTCACTGGCATGCTATGTCAAGAGAATTCTTGTACCAGCTTCAAGAATTGGTAAAACTGGAAAATGGACTGGTACAGCCTGTTATATCAGAGAAAGATGCAAAATATATATACTTGCAGACAATAATCAAGAAGAGTATTGCTGAGTCCTGGATATTATGAGCTAGAGTATTCAATGTCCTTAAGCAGAGATGCCAGTATTAGGATGATCAAGATTTTGCAAAGCTGTCCTCTTGCCCTTGTAAACTCTGAAGGAAATGGGATGAACAGCCTGAAAAATGCTGTACTGTGTCAGACCAAAGGTCTGCTTGTCTTGGTATTCTGTCTCTCGCAGTGACCTGGTTTGCCTACCTGGGGGGTACTGTAAACATAAAGCAGTAACATAGGCATACTTTTTTTTTTTTGTGTTCTCTTAGCCCAGTGTCCTGCCTCAAAAAAGATGTACAAACTTTTTTTGAGGCTGGAGAAAACATTTTTGAACTTTTGGTTATAGTATTTATCCTGCAATGGGATTTAAATATATTTTTACAAGGACACATCCTGATGATGAAAACATCAAGTAAGGATTAGCATATCTTTTTTTGTAATCAGTTTTCTTATTAATTACTGTCTTTATAAGTAAATAGCATCTTCTCTTGGAATATTTTTTTCCTAATAATAACATCCTGACATTGCTTCTTGCCATGCTTTTTTTTCAGCAAGGGTGAAAAATCTTGTTCTTTCTTTTCAATGATGCTTTTTTGACATGTATTTGTATGCCCAGTCAACAAGTCCTATGTAATCCACTAACCCATATAAATCATTTTTCATAAGCTTCATACTGTAAAACTTGTCATTTAACCTTTAATTGTGCTCCTGCATGAAAATCCCCAGTATTCCACATCCATATGCATTCAGTTCTAGTGTCTATACTTAAAGTATTCTTCAGAGTTACAGAGTAACTGTTAAGAGTCACTTGTGGTACTCCTCATAGAGTGTTCTAATATTGCTATTCAGGCTTCCTATACTCATATAGCCAAATATGCTGCCAGTCTTTGCTGCCCAAACGCTGCTGTAACACTGCCGTAGGAGGTGGTATTCAGGCAGTTGAACCTAAAATTCTTACCACTGCTTTTCAATGTACAAGGTCCTAGAAAGTAAGAATTATTTTTTTTTAATTCAAAAATCTATTGCATTTCCTTTAGCAGCATTATAGTGCAATTTTGTACCAATCGTATTTATAGTTTGCAATACTTAAGAGCTCAGTCTGTTTAGTTTTATCAGAAGAAAATCAAAGGTGTCATGCCTGTGTGGTAGAAAACCTTTATGGCATTGGAAATTCTAAGTAATAAAGCATCTTTTTTCTTGCAGGTGGCATATAAATTAACTTGGAGCTAAACCTAGGCTGCCTAGATTGGTGCATGTGAGATTTCATTTCTGGAGGCATTTCTAAGAGGCCCATGATCTGAGACTGGTCTGGTCTGACCAGAGTCCTTGGGCACTGCTGAAGTCCTTGAATTTTCCCTCAGGTTTTGACAACACCAGATTGTGAGACAAAGCTACCATCAGTTGCATTTCAGCTTCCTCCTGCTGTCAAAGAGGGCTCTCCTAGAGATAGCTCACAAAAAAGTCTACTCAGAGTCTGTGAAGAGCTGCCTTGTGCATGTCCCACATATTTTATGAGGTCATAAGATTTAGCTGTTTGATAGGGGTTGGACTCTGGGTTCTTGGGACTTTATTTTAAGGGTAACATGTAAATAAGAAAGATTCCTGTTTGTATTCCTCTGTTTTAAATAAGGTGTGTATTCTCTGAATGAGGCTCTTGTAGAATCCCTGTTCTGATCATAGAAACTGGAAATAAATCAATATATGAAAGAAGTGTTTTATCTGATATAAAGGAACTGAGTTGAGATGGGGGAAGAGAGGTTTTGCTGACATTTGCCTAGATTTACAGTATTGGGCTCTCCATTAATCTGCATGCTTCCTTGACCGTTTCCGTAAGTATAAAGTATAAACTGTAATCTGAAGGTCTGTAGGGAGTTACTGTGCTTTTCTTGCTTTGAATTGCAAACCTGAGTGAAGGATTTGAGGTAATTTATCATGTCCATTCTTTGGAGTTTTTTTGTAATGATTTTGTTTCCCAGTTTGTCAGGACATTGTCTCTAGACAAGTGAGATGCTCCCTGTTTGGAATTTGAAACAATTCCAGAGTTTCTTAAATAGCCTTTCATTTCTAAGGCAATGCTTCAGATCTGCCCAGTTCCAAATGGGATGTCATTTAAATGAGCAGGTCAGTTTCAATTGATAGTTTAATGGATATCAATTCATTTTGCCAACACTAACATCCTTTTAACGTAGATTGGCATCATTCTTTTTTACCATGATAACATGACTTCAAAGATCAAATGAACAGAGGACTTCTAATTTTCTTTTGCCTATGCCTGTGTCCCAGTATTAATAGCTATGCATATTTGTGGTAGGAGCAACATAGGAATCCCTTTACCTTAAC